ATTTATGTCTGATTTTAGAGCTTTTATCAACAGTGTGCTGTAAAAGTGTACCCTGCATATAACTTCACTTATTTTGAGTTTTTTATTATTAGTAAGTTTAAAATATTTATATGATGGCACTCTGATTGGTCAAAACATTATTGAAGAATCAAATATTGTCAACTAATGATCAACTGTTGAAAGTATAAGAACTGTAAGAGAGTATTATGGTATTGATAGAAATCTAAGTTGGCTGCCTGAAAGCTATGAAAATGAATTCTGAACTGTTACAATTGATTATTATTAGATGTACATAATGCTTTGCAAATATAAATACATACTTACCATATTCAAGAGAGTTGATAGTATGTATTTGGAAACCTCATCTTTAAAGAGTTCAAATTTTGCACATCTATCCCTATGCTCAAAGAGAAAAAATAGTTTTAAAATATGATTAAACTGTAGGTCAGGGTGTGTGTGCATGTTTGTACACACCATAGCCCCTGGCTAGAGAGTTTGGAGCCCTCACTACATACAGTTTTTGACTTCATGGAATGTTTCTCATGTTTGGATATTGTCAGTAGTGTTGGCAGTATCTGACAGTTCAATTCGTTAGCACCCTCGCCCCACCATTCTCAAAACAAATTGTTTAACAATAAAAAGTAATGATTCTTATAAAGCATATAGTCACAAAGTAACTAAACTGTATTTCCTTTTACTTGTATTTACATCTGGTTATGATTTGGGACCAAGTTGTAGTGCCAGGTGTGAAATAATTAGCTGTGCAATGCCAATGCTTGTGAAAGGTTACATTTTTGTCTGTTTTGTAAAATAACATTTCATCACTGAGAAGAAGTATCCTCAGAAGAAAATTCAACTGTGAATTGTGATATATAATTATTTGGGCTAATAATAATACTTCATAATTAGTACTGATTGTTGTCCTGGCCTGGATGGCCCAGGCTAGCCCAATCTCATCAAATCTCAGTAACTTTGTTAGTATCTGGATGGGAGATAGGGCTGCCAACCCCCCCCCGGTTTGCCAGGGGTCCCCCGTTTTGGGGGGGGTTCTACCCGCCGCCGGCCAGATGGCCAGCGGGGGAAGCCCCACCCCCAACACCCACAGCCACCCCTCCCTTTAAGTGTGTGGAACCCGTGTTTCCTCCCAAGCCCGATCTCCTCTTGAGATCAGGCTCGCAGGGAAATGCCAGCTTTGTGCATTTAAAAGGGAAAAGCAGCTGCTCTTAAAGGGGAAACACCGGCTCCTGCTCTGAAAGGGGAGACGCCGGCTCCTTTAAGTGCAGGGAACTGCCGTTTCGGGAGATCTGGCACCCGTCGGGTGGGGGGGCGGCGGACGTTCCCAATGTGACATCATCACGTCGGGGATGCCCTGCCCCCTCCAGGAATGACCCCAAAGTCCCCCGCTCGGGGTGGAAGATGGACTTGGCAACCCTAATGGGAGACCTCCAAGGAAGTCCAGGGTTGCTGTGTGGAGGCTCCTAGTGTAAAACATGGATGTGAAGATCTTCTGAAAGCAGTTGTGTTTAGGGCATAAATATATAAGGTAACCATTTCACATTCTCAAATATGTATTTGTCTTGTGTTAGCAATGGTATTTCTAAGTACGAGAACATTTCACATAGTCACTACTGGAAATCCCTAACCAAAACCCAGTATCAATGGAAACAAAAAGTTTTTTCTATGATTTTATGAGGTTTATAAGTCTTATTAAACGTGACATTTACTAAAAATTGTAAATGTTCCCAGTGGTTTTATATTGCTTATTTTCTACTTATTATATAAAGTAGTCATTGAGGTAGAAGAGTATAAATTTGTTAAGGATTGCACTGTGACACTACAAATTTAAGAGTATTCACACAAAGCAGTTAACATTGAAAAAGAGGTAGCATGATGCACTGCATGTTTGCATTGATTTTTATGTTGTTCCTGTAAGAATATAGAAGGACAATTGATTTGTTTTTATTTGTTTGTTTATTTAAAACATTTCTATGGTTCCACCCAAATAGAGTTCCCCAGGCAGTGAACATCAAAACATTACAATATCAAGGCATTAAAACAGTATGAGTATATATAAAATATTTCAACCATTCAGTAAAACATACACACACAACAACAACACAGTCAGGGAAGGAGGGCAAATGACAGTGGGGGAGATACCAAACCAAACAAGAGAGTCTTAATCTGCTGGTGGAAGTCAACGATAGAAGGATACAGATTAATCTTGTTTTGATATAATTCTGTTTAAATTAATCTCCATACAGTGGCATAGTTTAGTTATTAGTTTTAGTCTTGTTCTGTTAACATATGGCAACCCATTGTGTGTACATACTTACATACATATATGTGATGATTGGCTGTTTAACCTATGGGGAAAAATGGTCATCTGAGTGATCAACATTAATTATATATTTGACAAATATTTTTTAAAAGTTAATTTTATAAGAACAAAGAAAGATAAATGAATTACCAGTGGTTTGATACTTATGCTAAATACGAAGAAGTTAATTGTTACTGTAACACTCATTGTGTATATATGTGTGTGTGTGTGTGTGTGTGTGTATATATATGTATATATGTATATATATATATAAATAAAATGAAGTAATACTATAATTTAGTGCTGTTATATAAGGTTCCTATAAATGGGAACAATTGGCTGGATAAGTGTTCATTTTGGTCCTGTCCTGGAACACTAGGGTGCTTAGAGTTTAAATGACATTAAAACGGAAATTAAAGTAATACCAACTATGTAAAAAGTTGGCTTTTATTGTGTTCAGTATGCAGTAGTCAGCTTCTTCCCTTTTGGAGATGCCTGCAGTTGTAGAAGTTGGCCAGTAGGAGAAGCTTTGGTATGCTGTATGAGATCGGCCCCTATCTGCCCCTGACTGCTTCAGGGCTAGGGGGCAATCTGCCTTCATGCCCTGTCTTGCACACAAAGCACAACACAAAGGAACAAAGGAACTAGGTAAGCTGAGCCTGATATAGTGCTATTCTTGACCTACAGACCTTATCTTGGTCAATGAAGAGGCATGGTAGTAAAGAGGTAATAAAGATACGCATGGGAGAAGGCCCACCCTAACAGAGGCATGGCCCAGTTCATTTAGAGCTTTAAAGAAGATCAAGCTCACTGAATTGGATTTCAAAGCTGACTGGCGGCCAATGAAGATTATATTGGTACTGAAATGTACTAATTTCAGAATAATTCTGAATTGGTAAACTACTTCAACAAATCACAGAAAGTTAAAATTTGGCACAAACATAGTCTAATCTTTGCTGTGATTAGTACACAAACACATGTAAATAAATACAACAGGATACAACCTTCCTCTCAAAAATCCTGGTTCAGAGACAGGGAGCCTCTAGGCTTGTGGCCAAATCAGACCTCTATCATTCCCTCTGGCCCCTCAAAACTCTTTCATGACATCTCATTAATTTAGCCTCACACTGTGTTTGGTCTAGTCGTAGACTCATCACTGTGGGTGGTGGTGTCTTTTTTAGAGATGTGTATAGTTTGTGCCAATTCCCCCTGCTCTTAGATTCTGTGACCTGCGTTTAGCTATTTTGCATATATTTGGTAATCCTGCCTCTGCTGGTACTGGGGCTGGGAGAGGATTTATGCAGTGCCTGAAAGTTCCATCTATAACCTTTAGGAGCCAAGCCCTGTGTTGTCTGGCTTTTGTGATTTCAACAGATGGTATTTGATTTTTCAAGATTATCTCTGAAGCGAAATAGCTAGAAAATCCCTTTAAAAATGAAAGTGGGATGTTACTAAGTGTCAGATTCAAATTGTGTATGGTGTGATCATATATGTTTGATATGAACTAATTGCTGACCACGTGGGTTCCAAAGGATTCCCAAGAGATATGTAGGCAGGAGACCTCAATCACATTCCTGTTTCAGCATCCTGTCTTGAGTGTTTCTGGGCCCAGTTTTTGCTAATCTAGGAGAAAGCAGGGAAGTATGTATGTTGGGTGGGAGGGAAAATTAGTATGTCTGTGGATAAGACAATTTGTCTATGCATAAGAGATAGTATGACTTATTCTTCTGCAAACATATGTGTCATTTGGTGAGATCAGTATAACATAGGCAATGTGGCACTTATACACAATGCACTTCCTCTCTTCTGTTATCACAGAAGGTTGCTTCACATAATATCTAATATCTAAACTATCTAATGAATGCATGGGCCTGGATATTAATGTTAATTCCAGCAAACCTTTGATAACATCATCACTGTGATAGTAGCTACAAGGTAAGGTCAGTTAGTGTACTTTCTGTCTTTGGCAATGTGTGTTCGGTAGTCTGAGGGTTTAAGTGTGATCATTTTTATCTAAAATAGACCATGTAAAAGTTAAACAATACAATGTCTGTTAATGAAACATACAGAAGCTTCTGGTTGGACACTCTTAGACACAAAAGCTGTTAGAGAATAGTTGTTGGAGGATAGTTTTCAGAACTTTTTTCTTTTTTATAAAATAGCTGGAATGGTACAGACTAGGAAACAGAACTGTGAAATACTTAACATCTAGGATTTTATTATCGGCTCTTCTTTGCGAAGAGGCTCCACTACAGTCCACTTCCCGTTATGCCCATGCCCCCTGTTTTGGTAAACTGGAAATGGCAATTATAGTATCACATTGCCTGATGTCTAGTAAAGGAAAAATAAGCCGTTGTTACATCTTTCTGTGCCAGGATAGAACTTGCAACGGGGTGCTCTCTCAAAATGATCTCTCAAAATGTAGTGCTACAGTGACATGCCATGCCATGAAAACAGCACAAGTGTTTGGGATTAGTTTGGTATAGTTCACATTTGTATATGCAAAGAAGTGCATGAAGTATAACTGAATTAGATTTTGCTAGAAATGTTAGCTTTGAATGCAACTTGGACAGAGTAATCATTGGTTTTCAGTTCATGTTTTTAGGATTTAGTTCCTAAAATCCCCCCCCCTGTTTTTATTCTAGAAAGACCTTGTATTGACAGCCATTTGGTGAAGTGGAAACTGAACAAGTAGAAGCCATGCTGGAAACAATAGGTAAGACTTGAAACTAAAATATATGTTTGCATATTTAAAGTAAATTCGATTTTTCATTTTAAAGAGCTGTGCCGAACTGCATTGCCTTATTTTTTAATTCAAAATAAAGAGAGGCATGAGAATCATTAGTAAACAATTCATTGAATGAAATCCAGTAATACAGATTTCATAGTTACTTAATTGCATTTCTACAGCTAATTTGAAAATGCTGTAAAATTAAGTGAACATTGAATTGTATGTAGCATTGTCTTAAGTTTTTATTATTTATACTTACAACTTAGATATACCTATGAATTATGATTTCTCAGTCATTTAAATAAAAGGTTAGACCCTGCCAGTTATTTCTGCATGTGCAACAGGGGTGATTTCTGCCAGTTCCCCACTCCTGCAGTAGACCTCCAACTCCCCCATCATGCTGTTTGTGGAGGTACCCCCAAAGCAACATTTTGGGGAGCATTTGGGGATGCAACAGGTGTGAAAAGGCAAAATCGCACTCCATTGATTGTAGGGATGCCAGCCTCCAGGTGGGACCTGGGAATCCCCTGGAATTACAGCTCATCTCCGGACGATAGAAATCAGTTCCCCTGAAGAAAATGGATGCTTTGGAGGGTGGATTCTCTGGCATTGTTCCCCACTGAGGTTCTTCTCCCCCCCAGGCTCCATCCCTAAATCTCCAGGAGTTTCCCAACCTAGATCTGGCAACCCTGCCCCCTCATTCCCAGCTGGTGGCCAGGGGCGACTTTGCATCCCTAGTGGATGGAAATCTTTCTGTCTGGAGATTTCCAGTGGGATCCGAACCAATGTTTCCTATGCTTCACTATATATGGACTGATTTTTACTGGTATGTCTCAGTTTGGTGTAGTGGTTAAGTGCGCAGACTCTAATCTGGGCGAACTGGGTTTGATTCCCCACTCCTCCACTTGTAGCTGGCTGGATGACCTTGGGCAAGCCGTAGTTCTGATAAGAGCTGTTCTTTAAAAAGAGCAGTTTCTTTCAGAGCTCTCTCAGCCCCACCTACCTCACAAGGTGTCTGTTGTGGGGAGGGGAAGGGAAAGGAGTTTGTAAGCCGCTCTGAGACACCTTTGGGTAGTGAAGGGTGGGGTATAAATCCAATCTCTTCTTCTCTCTTCTTCTTCCTCTTCTTCTGCCCTGTCTTATGGTGGCTTCACTTTATTACTGTTTTCTTTGCAAGAAAAAGTGGGTGGGAACAATATGGACTTTACTCTAGTGAATGGTTCAACATATATTACTTGCAGATCAGAATAAGTTTGGAGAGCAACGAAATCTGGACTGCCATATAAAAGCAATGGGCTGTTGTCCTTTGCAAGATCGGGAATGGACGTAGAAGAATCAGGTCCATGTAACCTCTGTGTTGAAAGGCCAAGGGAGACAGTAGTTGATACTCAGTAAAAATGTCTGGCTGTCCAGACAAGATTGATGATTGAGCATAGTCTCTGCTATGGAAATGGTTTAAAACAGGCAACCAAACAGTGAATACGATAAGGTGAAGTCTGCCTTACTGGTACAAATCAGGAACCACAGTAGATAGTAAAGCAGCAAAGTAGGAAAAATACCAGAGTTTGGGAGTGGGCAGACAGGAAAATAATAATATCTAATAGAAAGCCAAAGGGCCAAAGCATAAGTTGTGTCCTTTAGAGTTGTGTATATTTGTATAATGGATACCTGACTTGTTGTTCAAACAGTATGATGGAGAGAAAGTTCAAGTAACTGGTCATGTCTTGGAGCATATATACATATGAAAACGGGACAGTAAGTAAAATGCATGTTCTTACAGATACCAATAGGGCTCTCCAGGCAGTGGAACGCCTACAAGCAAAATTGCGGGAACGAGGTGATACAGCAAATGAGGAAAAATTGGGTTTACTGAAATCAGTGCTGAAAAGTCCTTTATTCAATCAGATCCTGAACCTTCAGGCTTCACTTCCACAGCCAAGAGATCAGGTAGGACAGCAGCATCTCTGGGACAAAGTAAATGCTGATAAGACCTTGTAAACACTTTCATCTGATAACTTTCTGTGTCATCTTAAGCAGACAAAATGGATACTAAGCAGCATTGCTCTATATGAAAGCCGTATTCCAACATTTCATTTGAATTTAGTATTTCATTTGAATTCAGTAAATTTTGCTTTTTTGGGAAATGATATATGTACAGATTTCTCTAAGGGTTTTGATCCTAGTTAATAACCTGTGTATTACAGCCTAAGCATACTATTCAAGTTAGGATATCTTTCTAGTGCTGTATTTATTTTTGCCAAGCTCAATAATTAGCTTACAATACACATTTTAAAATAGAGCTACACTTAGTCTAAATATGACTATTTACTGTGTTTCCAGTGGCAAAGTGTTGGCTGGTGTGAATACTTGTCATGTTAATGTTAATTTTCAATGCATGCAATAAAGAATTATTCTTTAAATAAAAACTTTCTCCAGAGCTCTGGAGGACTTATCCCATAACACATTACAAACAACTACAAAAAGTTGTAGTATTTAGTACTTTTGAAAGAAGTGCTGTAGGCACAGATGGCTCTATGAGCTCAATAATTTTTAGATGGTTTGGAGTCAGAACTCTGTGGCCAGTGAGTTCTGAAAGCTTCCTCCCTCAGGAGTACAATGCAAACATATTTATTGCCATAGGGTAAAAAGATAATTGGGAAACCATCATGGTTCAGTTGTAACATGCCAAAATCATGGTTTAAGGAAGCTTAATTCATGATAAACCATAATAGCTGAATTCACCATGGTTTTCATTTGACCAACAAGCTGTATTCAGAAATTATGGTTTGCAGTTGGCTTTCAAATAATACTTTTGCTAACCACGGTTTGACATGATGTCTGAATTAAAAAATCATAGCTATAGCTCTGACTTGGGGTCTAGCTATATGTCAGTCAATCAATCAGTCTTTATTGCATTAGCAAAAAAAAAAAAGCCATAGCAACAATGCAAAGTAAAATGGAAATGTTCAACAAGGGTAACATTTGAAAAATAATAAAATAATAAAGAATTGGTCTAATATTAAGAAAGGTTAGTCCAGTGACAAATTACAAATGACACATGACCAAGAGTGGAGAAGTCATGGTTCAGACATACTTTGGTCAGCATGCCCCGTCATCTTTTTATCCTTTATGATGGTGGCAGCAAATCTTGCCATTTGGAAAGTAATGAATTTGTCCCTATGCCAATAATTCTAGCTGTATATTTTTCTCAAGTACATGTCCTAGTTTGATCACTGACATGTGCATGGAGTTTTTATTTGGACTGGTACCATGGCCCATAGGCAGTAGAGGTCTAGAACTTCTTTCTGTGATTTTTTCCTGAAACAGCCCAGGTGAGTTGCTATTTGTCCAGTGGGGGAATTGACACTTAGCTATATGCAGCATTCAAAGGGACAAATAGCCACATCCTTGGAGTGTTTCAAGTGTTGTAAATGGTGTAGAGTAAGGTCCTAGTCTCTTCTTCATGTGCACCATGGTCCTGAACCAAATTGGGCTCCCATAATTCTGGAAAGCATAGAGCTCCCAGAACACGTCTGTGGTCCAGCAGGGTATACTCAGGAAAATATATAGTTATGCCCTCAGGACAGTAGACCATTATATCTAGATAAAAAATAAGTAAAAATGAGACAAGCAACCCAACTGATTTTATGGAATCTCAGACCATGGTTTGGATTCTGAAATATGAACCGTAGTACCTTGGCTGAACCAGCATGTTTGGGCCACTTGATAGTGGAAATACAAAAATGTTCTACCAGTTTTTCCCATCACTCCACTGCCATTTGTTTCCTCTGCAAAGGTTTGGAAAAGACTCTTCCCCTTACTAGTCCTTGGTGAATGGAGAGGCCTTTGTTTAGTCAGACCACATCACAGAATGGTGCAGGTGCTTAAGCCACACTTTTCACTATATCTCATTTTGTGGAGAAGCTGATCTGGGAATAGGTGTTTGGTGTTGTTCCAGAAGATGTGCGCGTGCCTGAAGCTCAGTGTGCCCAAACATCAGACATGCCAAACATACAATGGTTTTGCGTGCGCTTCATTTTATTTGTATTGGGTGGCAGTCACTAATTCATTGTGTGAGCTTTGTCTAACAGTCAGAACTTTAGAGAAGACACTCGTGTTGACATTATGAGGAGAGTACTGTCCATTTGTTAACATTTCCACTATGGAAGAAAAAAAATGAACCCTATTATTCAGTCCTGCCTGAATGCATCATGTGAAACGCTCCTGAGGTACAATACCATTTTCAGTGGGGGTGTGGCGCCAGTCATTAGCAGGAATTTGCTGAAAACTGAATGGAATTTATTTATTGTAAGAAATAGGACAGTATGCTTTAGCAAGCATATTAATGTGCCTGGCTTTTTCAATCAGTCATGTGATGCACAAATAAATAAATAAATGTGTGTCTGCATGTGCCATGTCTAATAGGGCATGTTTTAAAAGACAAAATATACATATATATTTGTCAGTGATCATCACCAGACTTATACATGTGGTTAAATCTGGTACACTGAAGTAAATAAATTTAAGGCATACTTGGTATAACAGCAGTTTACATCTTGACCTTTAACCACCTTTTCAAGAAGTACAAACATTAAAAGCACTTTTGTTGCTATTCTGAGGACGGGTAGTGTTAGAGGCTATGACTTTTTCCGTATCAGCTGAAGACAGAATTATTTTGTTCCGAGCTCCTGTTTTTGCTATTACAATTTACATTTCTATGCTATCTACTTTCTGCTCTTTTATATTTATTTTGGCATTAGTTAGGAAACAATTTCTTCTGTAGATATGGAGTTCCGTTGTCTAAGTCCTAAGGGTTGGGGGGAAAAAATCAAAGCTTTTGTATTTAGTACATTGAATTTCATTTTATTTTTTAAAAAAGCATCGCACTTTCATATTGATGCTCTGCATGTTTTATTACCTGTGCTGAGATGCCTGTTGATAGGTGCCATGTAAGCTTTTTCATTAAAATAAATAAATTTGTTGCTAATGTTGAGAGTTTTAAACAGCAAAGTAAGCAAGATAGATAGGAGAAAAATCCCAATAGCTTGGAATGAAGCGGAATAGAATCAATGTTCTCTTTCAGAGTAAGAAAGTGGTACCCTGCCTTCAGCGTTCATTTGCATGTCAGCATACTGAAAGCAAGCACATATTCTTCCTCTGAGCATTGCCATTCTTTATTGGATGTTTGTTTTCTAACTCTGATGCCACGGCAAAAGCCCGGCATTTGAAGATAAGGGAGCAAAAAAAAAAAATACTATGTTGTTGTGAACTTCTCAAGTCTTAATTTGATTTTTTAAATAATTTAAAATATTTAAATACTTAAGCAGTAATCACTCAGTGCTGGCAAGCCACCCTCCCTCTATCAGTGCTTGTTTCTCTTTCCTCCATAGGAAAAGCTCAAAGCAGTGCTAATGAGAAAAATCCCTTTCCTTGGCTGGGCAACATTCTTCACATTTTTTCTTGCAAGTTTGAAGATAGATTTTTACAGGGTGGAAAAGTACTGGCTGCAGTGTAAGGGCCTTGCCAGCTTTCTTATGCATCCCTTTCAACTCCTGTTTTAACTTCTTTAATTGTTTCTGTTAACCGTTTTATTCTTTAGTAGTGTCTACATTCAGAATTTTGCTGAGATTTAACTTCTTTTGCTTTCCCTTGATTTGTAGCCAGTGCACACTTTATTGTGAGAAAATGTTTGGGTTTATCCCATAATTCTTTTGTGAAGAGCTAAACAAAAATATGAAGAATGTTGTATTTGAAAGGGAAACTCTAGACAGCTGGTTTTGTTGGAAGACATTTTGGAAACTACTCTAAATTGTAGAAGCATGCATGTTACCTTTTTAACAGCAGTTCCCCTGAGGCCCAATTTAAACGTGACGTGGCACAATTTGACTTGGGTCATGCCAAATCTCAACCAAGGGTAAAATGTGAATACCAGCAACTATAATATAAAGATAATGACCATTACAAAGAGATCATAGTATCTTCCCACCCAGTCACAGGTAGATCATCCTTCTTCCACAGGGACATCTGCCTCTACCTTCATGAACCATGGGTTAGATCCATCAAGGAAAATTAATACAAGCACAGTTTTTAAAAATTGGTGGGAAAACATTTAAAGCTTCTAGGACATACTGGATGCTGCTGATCTAAGGGTTACTATTTACAAAAGACGTTTAAAGGGAGAGTCCAGTGTTAAAGTGCTGAATTAGGATTCATCAAGGAGTTCAACATTATGTCTCCCCAAGGTTTGAATAAATACTTGCATTTCCTCAATCACTGTTGGTGGTTGTAGCTTCAAACTGTTCTCTCTTTGTAACATCTCCCCACTATTGCCTTTAAGTTGCTTGTAACTATAAATATACCCAATGAATGGATGTACAATTCTTGCACTTGATAAAATGAGCTCTGACTCACAAACATACATTTTGTTAGTCTGTATAGTGTTTTTGGACTTCTGTTTAATTTTGAAGCAACCTTATAATACAGCTATTGTTTGGGAGCTGATGGAAATGCTACTGTATGGTGGTGTGTCTATATGGTCGCTGTGTCTTGAAAGAGATGATCATGTAGATCCTCTGCACCAGCAACATGCACGGCTTGTAGTGGCTACTTGAAGGTCGTTGAGAATATTAGGGAGATCACTATGGTGATCAGCTCTCATCAGACGTGGAAAACAAAGGGGTCTGCTGCTACTCAGAACTGTTTCCAGTTTTTATTTGATGGTTGACACATGAATGTTTCTAGAGTGGCTTCTGGCAGTCACAGTACTGGGAAAGGCGAGGTGATAGTATTCCTGTTTTACATGGGGGGAGGTATTTGTATCTTTGTGTTGTTTTTGAACACAAGCAGGAATTCAAAGAGTTTTAGGAAGAAGTACTGATGCTGATTTCTGTTTCCTAAAATGCTGACGTGCCATAAATGCAACTGAAGTAGCTTTTTTATTAGGTATCATTTCAAACAATCAACTGAAAGTAGCATTTGATTGCAATATAAATTTAACTGTAGTAACCAATGTACATTTTATACTATATTGTGGCATCAGATTTTTTTTCCATTTCCTTCCAAATTATGCCAGTATCACAGATGTTATATACCGTAAAGGGAAAAGCAATTGTGCTAAATTAGCATAAAGCAATTTATAAAACAAAGCAATATTCTGTTTATACAGTACTTACATAATCACATTCCTATAAAGCTACCTCATGATACACTTATGGTGGCTTTATTGGTGTAAAACAGAACAGTTTATATGCAGTGAAAAGAAATACTCCTTATAACTGCAAAAAGCCTCTTCGGTATGTGGCAGTGAACTTCAAACTACTTTGGATGTTTCATGTCAAAGTGAAACACACTAGGATAGTCCCAACTATGAAACCTATCACTGACTACTTCAATTGTTCACTCATCATTTTCCTTAGAAAGGCTCAGCACCAAAACAGATTGGCCTAAAATCACAGATCTCCTTTCATGTTTAAAAGACAAACAGGTATGCGTGGCCCTAAAATGGGCGGACAGTTTTTAAAAATCCATCTTGAATGTGCTAAGAATGCAAGACTGGGTGAACCTAACTCCAGAGCATGTGGAAATTGAAGAGTGGAACCAGCTCTTTCCTTTCTGTATGGCTCAAATCTGAACTGGGACTGTATGCTGCTCTTATTTAGCTTTCACAGACAACCAAAGATCTGTGGTCTTCATCATGTTAATTTTGGCTCTTGGAAGCCAACTTTTGTTTACTGTAACACAACTGAAATATTATAGTAGGTAAAAATCATGGTATTGAAGATATGTTTTCAGGTAGTTTGAAGTCAGTGACTAGAGTCCTGTCAATTTGAATCAGACTTGCAGAAAGGGAGTTGCAACATTGATGAAGTACATTGCTGTCATTTATGTAAGACCACAGCCTATGGTGTTTCCATGTTACTGAATTAGGTGGGTAAATGCTGCAGCCCTGTGGGTGGGGGCAATGCCAAAGGCCCTTTCCCCTTCATCGTTTCTCTCCCTCCTCGCCAAGTGGTGATTAACTCTTCTCTCATGGTTCTTACGTTCATACACGGATTGCATCACATGTAAGCAGCTCCGTTGCCACTGAGAGTCTGTGTGAATGGGGCCGAAAAGAATCCATTTGGGAGTAGGCTTTGGGGGGGGGGATGGAAGCCTATGTGCGTTTAACTGATAAGTTAACTGGCAGATCACCTCTCTTCATGCTCTATCTCTGAGCAGAGGGAAGCTGTACATGTTCAGTTTCTGCTTGTTGCACCTTTCAAGCTACTGAGCACAGTAATAGCACAGCAAGAGAACAGCAAGAAATGATTGACTGGTTCAAATCCTTGTATGGCTTATGGAGCTCATGGAATAACCTTGTACAAGTCCACTATCTCTGCTCAACCTTCCTTACACTGTTGCTGCAGAAGCAAGTAACAGTGGTAGCATGCATATAAGATGCTGGAAAATCCTATAGATATACCATCTGAATGCATATGTATCCAGAGATGCATCCTCTATGAGATGATGCTTTTTTACACATTTCATGTCTTCAGTCACTTGCCATTGCCAAAAAGATGCGTTATGGGCATTCAGTGCTGACACATTTTTGTGTGTATATAAGACTGTTGAACTCATTTTTTGTTTGGGCTGGTGTTATTCCCTCTTCTGTGCCCTGTAATTTGTGAGTAGGAGCCAGAAGCCACTTTGTCTGACATAGTCTTTTTACATTAAGCTAATCCCCTTTGAACATGCAACTCAATTTCTTTAATTAGCTTTAAAATAAAGATCGTTAGAGTGGAGTGCCACTATCAATTACTATGGACAGGTTAGTAGTCAGTAATACATCAGTATTCTGCCATAGTCCACCTTACACTTTTACAAAACCCTACAAGTTTTGCAATCCTCTAGACTCAGGCAATTTAAGATTCTGTTTTCATTCCTCTTAAGTCATACCAGGATGCTCAATGCCTCTCCTTTTCCTTTAGGTTTTGGAGGTGTGGGAAGAGGTGTTTCTTTTTGCTAAAGCTATTCCTGTCTTTGAGTTAGGTGGACTGCTATTTTATTTCCTAAAGGAAAAGAGAGACATTACTTCAATTGTCCTCAAGGGCTGTGATTTGTTAATCCAGTGAAACATTGTCTTTAAGAGCTGCCTTTCTGGGAATGGAAAATAATCTCTTTAAGAGAACATTAAGCCATTTTGCCTGATATCCTGTCTCTGATGGAGAATGAGACCAAAAGAACTCCCAGGCTATTGTGGAATAACCTTTCCCTCTTACTCATATGTAGCTTCTGAGATCAACTTTTGTGACGTTACTAGTCCTGGATACAGTACAGCCCAAGTCAAGTAACTGTAATACTCTCTGATTTCACTGGGAATTTTTTCAAGCATGTGCTTAAGTTTCTGATAGAAATCAGTTGGACTTAAAGTACTTCAAATTGATTAGTTTGTTTCCCCCCCCCAATAAGTATAAAAGTAAACAGAGAGGCATCAAAGATGCTTGTGTTTGTAATTTCACAAAGGCCAGACCAATAGAAGTGTGCACTTCAGTTTCTGCTTGTCCTGTGGCTGAACTGCCTCTAATATTGAAGGGAACAGGGAAGCCCTTTACAGACAGAAGCTCCTGTCTGCATGATGCCTGTGGAATTTGCTGCATCTGGACAATTAATACTCATGCCATGACCCTGGACTATATTTTGTTATGCAGTGATTCTGTGATCTGCACGGTTTTCACCCAGTTTGGAGTGGTTGATGATGATTTGTTCTTCTTTGCTTCTCAACTAAAATAGAACATTTCACCCAATTTTTAGGTAAACATGGCACCTTTGGTACCCTCGTCTGGTGAACTCCTGCAGCTTCCCCATCAAAGTACTGTTGTGGGTTCTTCACTCCATAATGATTCCTACCTGTCAGCTCAGCAAAATGGCAACCTTTCTAGTGGGCCAGGAGTAGCTGCACGGTCCACCACTCCTCAGATTAATGGGAAGTCCTCTGGTGATGAATTTGAATTATTGGTCAGAAATATGGCGCAGGTAAGATGTAATACCTCAGATTAATTAATTGTTTGGCATTATGCACTGGTGCTTATCTGTGACTACTCAACCATGAGATGATTGACAGCATCCTATGGGTTTGCGCGCTCCTCCTTTTACCCTTCTCCTCCTCTCTGTGATTAGTGTTATGTATGTACTGATATTAATGGTAACCACAGGTAGCTCAAACCACAAGTGGCAGATCTACATTTATTGTCAACAACAATTGAGGGTGCAGGGGTAAAACTAGCCATTGTTTCCTCTGCAAAGGAAAGGGAAGGGGGAAAAGAACACCTGTACAAGAGGGGGAAAGTGTGTGAGAGAGCCCATGGGATGCCTTTGTTCACCTAACTGATGTGGGGATACAGGAACTTGCCCTCCAATGGCTCGCCTCTTTTCTCCAGGGTCGGGGACAAAGGGTGGCGGTAGGGGAACAACAGTCCTGAAGATACCCGCTTGAATGCGGTGTACCACAGGGGGCTGTGCTTTCCCCGATATTGTTTAACATCTATATGCGCCCCCTTGTCCAGATTGCTTGGAGGTTTGGGCTAGGGTGTCATCAATATGCAGATGACACCCAGCTCTATCTGATGTTGGGTGGCCAGTCGGACTCCAGCCCAGAAGATCTGAACCGGGCATTGCAAGCCGTGGCTGGTTGGCTTCAACTGAGCCGGCTGAAACTAAACTCAGTGAAGATGGAGGTCCTGTGCCTGAGTCGAAGTGGTTCGGGGGTGGGAATCCCTCTCCCGACCTTCGATGGGGCACCTTTGGTGCCAGCACCAGAGGTTAGGAGTCTGGGAGTGCTCCTGGATACCTCCCTATCTATGGAGACCCAGGTGGCAGCCACTGCCAGCTTGGCCTTTTACCATCTTCGGCTGATCCGGCAGTTGGTCCCCTTCCTCGACCGCGATGACCTGGCTACAGTGATCCATGCGACAGTCACCTGGAGACTGGACTACTGTAACGCTCTCTACACGGGGGTGCCTTTGTCGCAGATTCAGAAGCTGCAGCTAGTGCAGAATGCTGCGGCCAGGCTGTTGATGGGTCTCCCTAGATGGGAGCACATCTAGCCTGTGCTGAAAGCGCTGCACTGGCTGCCGATAGCTTTCCGAGTCCACTTCAAGGTGCTAGTACTTACCTTTAAAGCCCTATATGGCCAGGGTCCGATGTACCTAAGGGACCGTCTTTCCCCATACATACCCCAGAGAGTACTACGGTCCGGGGCCCAACATCGATTAGTGATTCCAGGCCCCAGGGAGGCCAGGCTTGCGGCAACCAGGGCTAAGGCCCTTTCAGTGGCGGCTCCTACCTGGTGGAACGGGCTCCCGGAGGAGATCAGGGCCCTGCAGGACCTCTCACAGTTCCTCAGGGCCTGCAAGACGGAGCTCTTCCGCCAGGCGTTCACTTAGGAGCCGCCACTACCACCACCACCAATTGTCCTGTGGTAACAATAGGACATTTGGGATGGCCTATTATAAAGATCTAGCCACAATACTGCAATGGATTGGTACCACTGAAGCATAACATCTATAGGGCAATACCTGTAGGTCACCATCTTGATATGACTTACTGGGTAACATCACTGAGAACTTTATTATTGTCAAGAATGTTGTTTTATTCTGTTTTTAATGTTTTATACTGGCACAGGTTGCCCTGTTTCTGAGCTGCCTTGAGCCCGTTCGCGGGGAGGGCAGAATAGAAATATAATAAATAAATAAATAAAAATAAATAAATAACCATGGGGTGAAGGGACCGGTTCATTAATCAGCATCAGGCTTGTTTTATTAGTTATTGTTTTCTTGCATTTAATTATTTCCCATTTCCTGTTATAATGTCATATTTCGAGTCAGTCACCTTCCTCTGGTTTTTCTGTAAAAAGATGACCAGGAAATTTGACATTCATAACCATCTCCGTATAACTTGTATTGCTTTAAAGAGTGTTGTTGAATGTACATGGATTTTTCAGTCATTTCCCTGGTGCTACATTTGAATTTATTACAAAGTGGTACTTTCTTACTCATTGTGTTTGTTAACAGGGACGACTTGTTGAGACTATAGAGCTTGTGAAACCTCCAAGTGGTGGACTAGGCTTCAGTGTTGTTGGCCTGAAGAGTGAATACAGAGGTGAACTGGGCATATTTGTGCAGGAGATTCAAGAGGGGAGTGTAGCGCACAGGTAAAAATGCTGATACCTACTTTCTTCATGTTTGGGGGATGGGAACACCTCATAAGAGGAATGCAGCTATGACTCACGAATGGACAGGCATTCTCCCATTTGATTTGGGTGGGTGATAAGAAATTGTGTGAGGTGGGGGTGGGAACCCAAAGCCTTTAACTCACTGCTACACACAAACACAGAGATAAGTTTAACAGAATACAAAAACAATGGGTGCAATCCAACCAGAGCTAGTCACTGTTCAGTGTCCTACATTTCAGTGGGAGAGAGTTAAACCTGTACTTAGTTCTCCCTCTGTAATTCATGGGATTTCCCTTTGGCTGTTTGTGTCCAGTGTGCTTTACATAGTTCTTCTCTTTTAAAAAAGACACAGATTAGACTCACTGCTTGATTTAAAGATCTGACTTTGCATGGAATTATTTAAATGTGAATGCAGGAAATTTGCTTCGTAACATAGGTACCTTGTGAGTAAAAAATAATACTAAAGGATTTTTTATCTTCCTTATGGCTCAATGAAAGTGTTTTTGCAAGTAAACTGTGTGGAACAATGAATATTCAGCACTTTTATGCTGAATGGATCATAATGTTTGGTCTGCTAAGCAGCAAGCTAAAAGTTTAGAGTATAGTTCCTAGGCTATATGTGGAGAAAGCTGGGGGCAATCCACATGTAATATGCTTAGTCTCAGATGGGGGGGTTGCAGGGAGAAGGAGCTAGCTGTGGGGTAAAGTCTGGAGAGAGTGGCAGTGGGATTAGCTTCAAAGGGAGCTGATCACCAGGGTGCCAAGAGAGTTGCTCACGGCAAAACTGCTGGGAAAGATTAAAAAAAAATATATCTGGAAGAAATAGGGGGGAAAACCCAGGATTAAATAAAGCCACTTTAGAAAAAAAAACCTGTCAAAAATGGTTGTAATGTTTAGTGACAACATTTATTGTTGATTTCTCTTTACACGCCTTGTAACAGAGATGGAAGGCTGCAGGAAGCAGATCAAATTCTTGCTATAAACAGGCAAGCCCTCGATCAAACAATTACACATCAACAGGCTATCGGCATCCTACAGAAAGCAAAAGATAGTGTCCAGCTGGTTGTGGCTAGGGGCTCTTTGCCTCAGCTCATCAGTCCTGTTGTTTCTCGGTCTCCGTCAGCTGCTAGCACAATCTCAGCCCACTCCAATCCGGTGAGTACACCAGACTCACTGGGAAAATGAATGTATCTTCTTTTTTCTCAGCTTGTGGGTGGTTGCAGTTTAAGTGCTACTCTTTTGTACTTTTGTGGATTAATGGTTCTTCTCCCTCAAGTTAGAAGATATTTTCACAACATCTTCTTCCTGCATTTTAAGCAGACAGATGAGTAAAGTAGCATCTGCAGAGGAAACTTCCCACACTCTTGTTTTTGTCTTTCAACTCAAATCCAGGATTGTGGGAACTATTAAAAAATGGAGGCATGATGGCTGCCATTGGTTGAGGTGACTTCCTATGGGGGGCATAATGCTTTTTTTTAAAAAATAAAGGCTTTATTTACTCTCCTAAAAAGGGGAGGTATTTCGCTTAAATAGAAAAATAGGGAGGGTATATAGTGGGAGAAAGAGAAAGCTGAGTGATATATTAACTTGTAAATTAATCTATTAGTAATGTCCAAATTATCTTCTTAGGCTTCTTCTGTGTGCAGTCAAACTTCTTTCTTCAAACCAGTTAAAGGTGTTATCTATGTTAGTGTATTAGTAGTGTTCATTTGATGCTCTGTTAGTTAAAGTTTCCTCAAGGCGCATTCAGAACCGTTCCTTCGCGTGCTGGCTTCTTTTAAATTCCCAATTTTATGGAGGGGCTTCTTCTGTTTCCCTCTCTCCGGCTTTTCCAGTCCTCCTCCGGGTTGCTGTTAACGCTTCCATTTCATATACTGTAAATCTTCACTCTTTCATGCTCTTTCATGCCCTTTCAAAAGATCTCTAGCTCTGAGAATGGATTTTCTTTTCTTTTTTTTTGATTCCAGTTTCACTTTTTAAACGCTGCCATTCTCTTCGCTGTACATTAATCAGCCGGTTCTCACGAAAAAGCAGATGTCCAGACCAAAAGTTCCTCCCTTCTTCTCCGCTTGTCTTTTAGCCCAGCGCCGACATCTTATTATTTTTGTTTACTTTTAATAAAGTTCTTAAAACGCGCTCCAAAGAAACAGAAATTTTCTCGTTTTACTCCAAATGCATCAAAACAAATCACCACTACTCGCACAGTCCATTCCCCCCCCTTTATTCTCTCGCTAACGAAGTTAGAGGGTTTACCTCCTCGTCTTTTCCGCTGGGGGGGGTGGAGCGCTCTTAATTCTTTTTCTTCACATTTGACAACTCACAGTTTAGCCGATCTTTTCTTTTTTCATTTCATCAGTTGTTCGCTTTATCACTCGGTGACGTCTGGTGGCTCCCCTAAACCCCATACGGGGTCGCTCACGCAGCAAGGTCCATTGGGGCAGGGCATGGCGAGAGTCTCGATTTCCGACCGCTCGGCAGAGAAAGAGACTCCCTCCTAGTGCGCCCTAACGCGCCCCGGATCCGAGCCCCTCTCTTTCTGAGGGGCTCGTTTGGGTCTCCGCTCGCGCGGATTCCCTCCTCCACCGCGGGTGGGCGAGACGCCCTCGGGAGCGACCCGAGGATGCGTCCGCCATTCGCGGGAGCCAAACCGGAAGCCGGGGGGCATAATGCTTTTAATGGGCTTCTCATAGTGTCATCCCTGTCCCACAGAAGACAAAGTGCTGGGGTGGAGACATGCCACGTACTTAGCTTTGTCATGTGGATAAAGAGAGCCTTTGTGACATGGAAGAGGTTTTCAGTGGCAAACAGACTGCCTGCCATCCTATGTGTAGATTGTAGCATCTTGTACACAGCTGAGGTTCACTGTATTCAGGATGCAGTCAGTCAGGGAATCAAGATGGTCATTGTTTGAAATGTACTCGTTCAGTACTAATTTCAGAGGAGCCCCTCCCCTTCCTGTGTTTCAGGGCTAGATCAGATGACATGCTGGGAATTTCTGATCGGATATCCAAGCTTTTTGTGTATGTGTCTGTGTGAAAAAAATGCAGTTGCTGGGGGCATAGCACCCCAATTCTGACATAGATCACATTGCAAGGAGAGATGGGTTTAAGCCTCCCTCCCTCCATGCAGTTCGTCTGACCTGAAACACTCCTGGATCTATTTCAGGTTGGGAATAAGATGTGGGGGTGGATGGCTTAACCCCCCCCCCCCCAATGTTGTAGAAATTGCTCATTGATTTATTTTCTGTTGCAGTGGAGTAAGGTTTTTCTAGCTTTATGGCGGGCATGATGAGGGGAAGGATCATTCTTATCAACAAAAATAAATGTTGATTCCTGGAACCCATGTTATTCTAAATTGTTGAGATCCTAGATACTATTTTATTTGCCATTGAATATAGTTGGAATGGAGAACCTAGCACAGTGATTGATTATGGGTAAATCATGGGTAAATGCAGGGAAATAAGATATTTATTTATTTTGTTATTGTTTATTTTATTAATTCCATTTATACCCTGCCCTCCCTGCGAGCAGGCTCAGGGCGGCTTACAGTAGTGGCACCAGTGGCCATAAAACCATATAAAACATATGAACCAGTACTATACAGATAAAGTCTTAAAATCATGTTTAGTATACGGTATGTGCAAACGTGCCTTGATGAATATCTTTGTTTCCATAGTACTAAAAATGGGCTAACTTTAATGCTATAATGTTTTATGAGTTTATTTTTAATTTCTATCTTTGCAGGTTCATTGGCAGCATGTAGAGACCATTGAGTTGGTGAATGATGGATCAGGTCTGGGATTTGGGATAGTTGGTGGAAAATCAACTGGAGTGATAGTCAAAACCATCCTTCCAGGAGGAATAGCTGATCAGGTATATTCTAGCAGTTCCTGTCTACTGCATCAGTGATAGAGATGCAAATGGTTCCAGGGAATAGTCTGATGGGACTTAACGCTGTAACCTAGCTGAAACGCAGTAGATCTCATTGCCCCAGTGGAAGCTGCCCGTGTTTACTGCCTTGAGTTGTAAGGAAGCAAAAGAGAATATAAATGTAATAAATCAAGTGGGGTTTTCTGAACATTTTTACTCTGATAACTAACCCTCGCATTGTAAAAACATTCTTGATGTCCTAAATCAACTGGTATCTGACTTAGCATTCTTATTTGACTTACACTTAGTAAACAACTGCATTATAGCCAAGATAGTTAAATGAAATATTTGACTAGGTAAAATCACTAAAGAAAGTGTGGGATTTAAATAGCATATTCAAATAAATACAACATTTTATTTGAAAATGTAGTTTATCAGAATACTTAAACATATTTCAAGACATGGCAGCTCTTTTAAATTATTTAAATTTGAAAGAAAAAAAAATTAAAACATGGAAAATATACTAATTTTAAAGAGTTGCATTTGTTCCTGTGATTTACTGCAACGATGTTTATCGTTTGCTGCCCCAACTGGACTGGTATTGTGTCCATCCAGAATGTTGTGAATTTCAGTTTTAGGAGTAGAATTTTTTCCTCAGGAAAAATTGTAGCAGAGAAAACGTTATATAATGAGAAGATTTTCTACTACAGACAATTTTCTGTTCCACATCACTGATCAGTGGTACGGAATTATGGAAACATTACACACACACACACACACACTTTTTGAGGTGGAAATAGAGGGTGCTATCATGCTATATGGAACAATATCGTCTTCATGATGGGTGATGCACATCCACTCAAAACACAATAGACTGTAAGTTTCTTGGGGATGACACTTAAACTTGTAAAAGTCCCAGCCAGACCGAGTCCCAGCCGGACTCACTTCAACACATGCAGTTGGTGACAATTATAGATGTCACATCAATGCCATTGGGAATTGTTAGATATCCCACCCATCCACTCTGAGTGTTTCTTCTGTGGATGCTGATTGCCTAGGTGGTATGGAAAGAATGTGAAAGAAAAAAGAGTGGTTTGGGTCCTGTGAAGTGCCAGCAGAAAGCACTGACGATCTAGGATCTGACTTGTACTCTGCTTCCCAGGAGGCCTTTCCAATGCTGGGAAAGTTTATTCCCAGGGTTGAGGGATTTGTGTGTATTAAAGTTGTGCTGGATGGGTGGCTGGCTGTACTGGGGAGGGGGAAGGAGATGAAATTGCCTATTCTGCTTCTTGCACGAGTGGAACTCTGCTCATGGAAAGAAACAAAGGAGTTATTTGGTCCCTTCCCCCTCCCTGCTGTACCTGCCTGACCCCTTGAGAGGGGAGAGAAAAGTGAAGACGATCCTGCAATCCTTGTACCAATAGATTGCAGGATTCAACCCAGTGTATTAACAATGCTCTTTTAGGCTAGAATGGATTTCCGCTGTAGCCTTAATATTACAGAGGATTTCCTCAGGCAGACCCTCCTTCTATAGATCTCTGATTCTTCCAAAACTGTTTCTGGGGGTTGCCTTTCCCACAGAAGCAGTGTGCGTGGGGGGGGGGGAGATTTTGGACTGCCATTGGAGGGGTGAGGCTGAGAACCCCTGCTCTCTGCATATGGAAATCCCTGCCATTTGTGGGATTTAAGCCATTGTTTGCCACTGGGAGATAATTTGCCTTGGGCTGAGGCCTTTTCTTCCTTGCTGTGGAATGTAGATAGCCTATCTATGAACCTTAATTTTGCTTCTTGTTACACATAACCAATGCAGAGGGGCCTAGGTTGCTAGGTATCCATAAAGTGGAAAGTGACTCAGTTTCCCATGCTGTGGGCTTGTGAATTGGTGTACATCCACCCTGGTTGCAATATGGAGAACCCTGACATGCGTGTACTTATGACCAGGCTGAGAAATTCCACACTTAGTAGGAGTAGTGACCGTGGCAGAAAAACATGCATGTGTCATCATTAACATTCTGTAAAACAGCAATGCATTCTAGTGTGAACATTTGACTGACTTTATTGTCACTTGCTAAGCAGTTAGCTTCTTCCTCATCCAGCATGGTAGGCTGCGCAGTGGAGACCACATCTTGAAAATCGGTGATACAGACCTGGCTGGAATGGGCAGTGAGCAGGTGGCACAAGTCCTGAGGCAGTGCGGGAACAGAGTGAAGCTGGTTATAGCCAGAGGTCCAGTAGAGGAGCCAGTACCACCAGCAGTCCCTCCAGGCACCCCAGTACAAACGTGCATACCAGATAACCAGGTAAGAACAGGCAAGATACATTTAGGAATTGACACTGGAAACTGACTGGTGGTTCATTACTGCTTGGGCTGCCGTGTTTTGAATAGTTCTTAAACATGTAAAAGGACAGTACTTTACAGTCATACAAATTAAAAATCCCCCCAGTAGTCAGTAGTAGGTCTGTGCACTAGGGACTTTGGGAGCCTGACATAGAAATATGCAAATAATTTCTAACCCACTAACCTCAATGGGCCACTTGAATGGTGCTTTAGCAACAGCTGAGTAATCAGTGTGTTGCGACACCTCCCACTTATGCCGTGGAAGCCCTTTCCGTCCAGCTGGATTATTAAAACCGTTTCTCCAATATGCCTTTCTTCTCTTGCTTCCCACATTCACCTCAGCATCCCCGGCATCCATCAGGCGGCTGCTTTCGGTGCCAGCCGGCACACAGCTGCAGCTCTTCACCTAGATCAGCTGCCACAACTTCAGCTGCTACTAGCCATGTGCCAACTAGCCAGCTGCTATCTACATTGCACGCAGTACCCTTCATTTCTGTTTTGCTGTGCTGGCTATCTTCCTTTGCTCCCTGAAAAGTGCCCCTTATTTACCAAAGCCCCCCCCTGCCTTCTGCTTGCTCCTGAGTCACAAACGACTCCTTCTCTTAACATTCTGAAAAAGACACCAAGGGGATTTGAGGTAGGCTGTGTGTGTACTTAAACAAAGAAATACAATCAAGTGGAATAATGCAGATATTCCTGCATTTGTTTTGATTAAAAACACCCACCCACATCAGTTCTAGCAAGAGTCTCTGTCCTGTGTAGTTTATGTGACAGCTGTTTGGTAGGACGCTTCAGTTAACTTGATTATATTTGGTGGAATGAGGTGTTCTGCAGTTGAACTGTCGTAAGTAAAGGAGGTAAAGAAAGAATCAGTGTCAAACATTTTTGCCAGTGGCATAATTTATTTCTCTGGTTTTAATTTTTTTTTTTTTAAGTTTCATTTTTGCCCTTCTTGTTTTCAGGCAAGTTCCCCATATGTATCAAATACATTATTTTGGGGAAACTAGCTTATAAGAAAGTCTTTCCTTAAATTGCTCATTGATTTTATACCGATTGCTTTTCCAAGGGATGAGTAGAAGGCAATTTGGTATTTGATTTTCAGGAAATAATTACAAAAATCAAACTGCTGTTAGTACTTATTGCATGCATGAGTTCTTGGGTCATTTTTACTTTGCCATTTTACTTTCCCAGGATTTTGCCTGCCTTCAAGATCTACTTTTTAGTTCACCTTTCTATCCCACTCTTGTGCTACTCTTGCTCTAACATTCACTGATGTGTAAGGTATCTAGATAACACACTTAAACGATAGCTCACCATTTAAGAATCGCTAAGGACATAGGGTATATATCTGTACCTCAAACAGGGAAACTTGCCAAATATATTGGAACATTTTACATAATAAGGCTTTTTAAAAAAATTGTTCTCATAAGTGGGTACTTTGTGACAGTCTTTTATTAGAAAAGGTCATCCTTGCACCTTGATCAGTCATGATCCTGTCAAGTGGAACTTATTTTCTTTGTTTTTTAAAAAATAAATAACAGGTCCAATTGTGTGATGCTTTGTTTTTACTGGATGAAAATACTTCAAAATGTTGCCATACTTTTCTTCAAAAAAGGCCAGTTTTGTTGGGAGTGTTGTGTGGTTGTGTGTGTGTGTGTGTGATTTTTTATGACAGTGATCTCTGTGGAATGGAGAGATTAAAGAATACCCAAACTGTGATACATTCTAGAAAGTAGCTGTGTTAGAAACTACTTTGAAGATGTGTCATGCTCATTTTGTCAGGGCTTTACTAGTTTTGTAGGAGGGCTGCCATCTGTCTAACCGATGTCCCTGTAGCATTCTGGTGAGGAATGTTATCTGTGTAGTTTGGCTGCTTGGATAAGATGTATAACTACTGTTGGTTCAGGTAAGGACTGGCTTTAGAGAACATAACAGCCTTTCAAAGTTTATATATTTTTCCTTTTTTTCCTAAGAGAGAAGAGGAGACACAAGTTGGAAATGACACAGATGGAACCACATTTGATGTGGAGCTTACAAAAAACATCCAAGGATTAGGGATAACTATTGCTGGCTACATTGGAGACAAAATTTCAGGTAATATTAATAGTAGTATGCAAATACAAAGCTGATTTCCCCCTCCTTATACCCAGCCCAGTTTTTTGCTTTGACTGTGCTTAGAAGTGTTTAGCTCTGTTAAAGATTGCACCAAGAGTTTTTTCAGGCAATGGTCTAACAGTACTAAACAAAGTGACATCCTTCTAGGTCCTTGAAATCAGTGGACCTATGGTGTAAGTTGCTTAGGATTGCACTATAAATCTTTAAAAGTACAGAAGAATTTTTGTGGATTCATATTTGTGAAAAAAATGGGTTTCTAAATTTAGAGTTTTTAACTGATGATTGTGCAGATTGGAGTAGCTTGGTAGCATTGTTCATTCACTTTGTTAAAATCAAGGGTTCTGCAAAAATCCCTGCTTCTTTTGAATGTTCACATTACGTCTTAGTAACTAGAGGACTTGGAGCAACCTCACTCATAGTATTTGCAACATATAGAAGTTGTCTGGGCACGCACTATAACTGTAGTTATGAGTGAGACGAACACATATTTTGAAGGTTGTATACATTGTCATTGTCTCTATGCACTGTTGCTGGCCCTCCAGAGGAACTAGTACGCTACTGTGTGAGGCTGGATGATGGATGAGTTGGACCATTGGTCTGACCCAGCAGGGCTCTTCTTGTGTTCTTGTAGATAGATTCATGGAGGAGAGGTCTGTCAGTGGCTACTAGCCATGATGACTGAGGGGAACCTCCATATTCAGAGTCACTTAGCCTCTGAATCCCAGAGCCAGGAGGCAACATCAGAGGAACTGGTTGGCCACTGTGTGAGACAGGATGCTGGACTAGATGTACCATTGGTCTGATCCATCAGGTCTCTTCTTATGTTCTCATGCATACACATGCATAAGCCAAGAAGCCAACAGTTGGAGTTTCCTGCTTCTACATGCACATGTTTAAAAGTGTAAATTTGCCCTCAGTATTAAGACTTTAGATGAAAGTGGCTTCAGTGAACCTGCATTGACTGACATTATAGTGCTTTAGGTTAAATGCTCTGATGGAAATCCATCACACACAGTTGTGGCAACCTAAGTTGTGATAAAGACTACTGAGTGGTGATTTATAGATACGGAGCATTTGGAGGGTGGTGCTGATATAGTAGCGGCTGAAATGTAGTATTCCTTACTCAACCTTTAATTCTAATTCACAGAACCTTCTGGCATTTTTGTAAAGAGTATCACAAAAGGCAGTGCAGTTGAACATGATGGTAGAATCCACGTTGGAGATCAAATTATAGCGGTATGTAATCATGGATGAGTTGTTTTGTTGGAGATGTATCTATATTGTTTACTCTTGTAAATGCATGATTCACTTGTAGAAAATAATTTTAAAAGATTTTAAAAATATTGTTAGACATAACCTGTTTTAATGGACAGTGTACCCTATCATATACATTTACTAGCTGGAAAACTAGTCTATGAAATTGTGCGTCCAATAGAAGGTTAAGTGGAGTCGTGGTACTTAAAACTGCAATCCTGAACTGTCCTTGTCCAAGTCCTTGTCTTCAATGGACTTAAGAGGGTATAACTCCATTTAAGATTGCACTGTTATTTGTGTGTCATACCTACATTGCCACATACTGTTGTCTGTTGCAAGTACAGCTGTCTTTCTTGTGCCTTCTGCTGCTCATCCGCTCTTGGAAACATAGTTCCTAATGCAGATAGTAATGTTAATTGTGCTCCTATAGACAGAAATGTAATTGTTGTGTTAACCCTCTATAGAGTTTTTCCTTTAGATTATTTTTCTTTTACTGTTATGGTCATCTCTGATAGCATGAACACGTCAAACTGCTACTAGCACATGGTCAGCTATACCACCATATTATTTAACCAACAATAGGACCCGAGCTGTGGACTGATAAGGTTATGATGGGAAATCCTTAGGTAAACTCAGCTTTGTGCTCTTAGAGTGGCTTCAGATATAAATACTGAAAGCAGAATAAATCAGAATATTGGGGAATTTCACATTACCCGTCTTCTCCCGGTTTCAAGCCGGGAGTCTTCCGTTTCCAGATGAACCGGTACAGGGCTGCCATTTCACACACGGCTTGCCCCTACCGGAAAGGAGCCGATTCACAAGCGGTTCGGCGTTTCACACACGCACCGCTTTGTTTCCCCACGGTTTTTTTTTTTTTTAAAAAGTCCGTCTTATAGCGATATATCGATATACCAGTTTTCCAATGTATTCCAATGGGATCGGTATAGCGTTATATCGCTATATCGATATAAGCCGAACGTTCAAAAAAAAAAAAAGCCCGCGCGGCCGAAAAAAGGCGGGAAAGAACCGTATCAGAACCGGGAGAGGGAATGGGATACTCCTCGGAAGCGGTTGACAGGTAAATCACTTCCCTCCCGGTTCCTATACGGAACAGAGACTTTTGAGTGTGAAATGGCAGTCAGATCCCGGTAGGGAACCGATTCTCAACCGGGTTCTGTCTGAAATGACAGACCAGCAGCCGGTTGAGAATCGGTTCCCTACCGGGAGAAAGCGCCTGTCTGAAATTCCCCATTATTTCCAGGGGGAGATGTGTATCTGTGTGTATGTTTCAGCAACATGACAGTAGAGCAAAGGATTGAAAAACAACAACAGGAAGCTGGAGACCAGAACAAGAACCAATATTTTGCAGATGGCTCAAATGGGGCTTGGCTCATTTTGAGTGACACAGTTGTATATTATTTTCCCCTTCTTTTAGTGGGCTGTGGGTAATTATCATATGTTTAATCCTTCAGGTGGATGGAACAAATCTTCAGGGTTTTACTAACCAGCAAGCTGTGGAAGTTCTGCGGCACACTGGCCAAACAGTTCGACTCACATTGATTAGAAGAGGCCTTAAGCAGGAAAATCACATTCAGCCCCATGAGGACTTCAGTGCTGCTGCTGAAAAGGATTTAATTTTCCAAACTATGGATATTGGCACAGGGAAAGGTAATTAAGATTGGCTTTGCTTCGAATGAACTGGATTTTATTTTCTCTTCTCCAGCATGTAACACTGGGCAGCCGGGGGTGGAAGGGAGGAATTAGATCCTTCCAGACCCTCAGTTTTTTTAATTTAAGCTTTGAAATTAATACAGGGTTTTGTTATTCAGTGCCCTGATCCAGTGTTTCTATAACTTTTTTTCTATTTTTCCTGATTCTTGGAGCCAAAGGAAGTGTCAAGAGAGAGCTCATAGTTTTGTAGAGCAGGCAAAGAATTTTAGGTGGAGGATCAGAAAGCTGGCAATCCTTTCGTTCACAGTGCAAACACAGTCTTTAGCTAGGGCCGTAGCTTGCATGGATTTTTGATGTACTACCACAAGGGAACTTTTACATGCAACGTTCTTATTCTTATGTAATGTTCTTATGCTGACGGTTTCCTCAGACTATAACTCCATGATCTTTACTTAGAATACTTCATCAACTTCTGATGACTACAAAGTGATAAATTGGGGCACAGTCAGACCAAGTTGGGGCACAGTCAGAAGACATGTTCCTTATGGAAAAATGACCAATGAAACCAATGTGATTTTAAAAAGAATTCTTATTATGGGCTCTTTTTGTAGCAGGAACTCCTTTGCATATTAGGTGACACACCCCTAATGTAGCCAATCCTCCAAGAGCTTACGGTAGCCCCTGTAAGAAGAGTTACAGGGGCTACTGTAAGCTCTTGGAGGATTGGCTACATTAGGGGTGTGTCACCTAATATGCAAAGGAGTTCCTGCTACAAAAAGAGCCCTGCAAGATTTCTTATTAAAATCTGTAAGCTCTTGGAGGATTGGCTGCATTAGAAGTGTGTTGCCTAATATGCAGAGGAGTTCCTGCTACAAAAAAGAGCCCTGCAAGAATCTACCTTAGATAATGAATTTCAGTGATGTTCCCGCACGGTGTTTTTTACTTTCTAGTTTGGAGCCCGTACGCATGTGCTTCAAAACCATCCATTCAAGACGAAGGGTATTGTAAGAAGAATTCTTCCCATTCTGGCTACCATTGAATCATGCATATACAGGACATGGGCCAAATCCTAGCCTATATTTTTTCCTGTTTCTTTGGGTGACCACTCAGGAGATCATCCACTCTGGAGTTCCTGCATAGGATGGAAAGGGAGAGGCACAAATATAATAGCTAATTTTATCTTCTCATATACTTTAATCACAGTGTTGGGAGGTGGGGTGGAGGAATAGATTGTTTCCATTGTAAGAGTAAGAGTTTAAATATGGAGCAGTTGCTTATTTATGTTGGTGATTATAAATGTCAATCCATGATAATAGCTGCTTATTCCTTGTTAATCTGGAATAAAGGGAGTTAGACTGAATACCTTTCTTTCTTTCTAGAGCTTTGTGGTTGAGTGAATTTCCTGTTGTATTGCAATTCAAAGGGGCAGGTCATTATATATAATGGTCTTGTATATATCATTTTTTCAAATAAAAAAACAAACCTTACATTATTTGATAGCTGCTTTTGTACATTTTTTGAAAAGCACATCCTTGGTCTGATATTTTAGGGAAGAGTCCAGAAGTTCCTATCATCAGTGAAAGCAGACAATGCAGTACATTACTTATCACAGATGTCCCAATGTACATTAGCATGTATGGAGCTGCTGATGTTCTTCTTCTTCTTTTACAGAAATCTATGAAAGAGAGCAAGAAGCTCCATTACTGACATGCAATACCAGTGTGGTTCACATTGGAGAAGATGTTAGTCCACAGCAATCAGGTTCACGTTAATAATTTCTAGTAGCATTTTTTTCCTCCTGTTGAAGCATATTGGTGTGTGCCTCCTGGCCCTTGCCTTGCTTTTTTTTTCTTTTAGAGATGAATTAAAAAGGCCCAGTAGCATTCTCAAAAGTTGCTCCTCTGTCTTAAAAATCTTGGAAAATTTGTGGTAAGGGATGATGTGCAAATCTGTATTGGAAGGGAGGAAACAAAGGAAGACATTTCAAGAATTCACCATATATAGTTTTTTGCCTGGAATAAACAGTATGGTGAAACACTAGCTTTTAAAAGACTCCTTGGACATATGAGCGGTTCCTGAATATTAAAAAGTGGTCCTCAGCCCACAATTGATAGCTTAGACACTGTCTTCTCTGTGACAGACATTGCTGTTTCACTCTCTGGGAGCTTTCTAACTTTATATTCAGGGTTATAGGGCCTTGTGATAAACGTGCCTTGCATAGAAGCTTAGCAGTGGCTCTCTTTAATTGTGCTTGTGTTCTTTGCCCAGATTTTTGTTTGTAGCTAAACCACTTCAAACACTTTCTTATGCTGTTTCTTTAAATTCTGATCTAGCATGTTTCTTTTCACCTGTTTATGATTAAACCATTTCTTACTGCTAGTGGCAAGAGTCACTAAAACATATTTATTTTCTTTATTGCATCAATTTTCATCCCCTTAAATATATGATGACCGCATGCTTATGTGCCATGTTTTTAACACCTTTATTTTAAGCCAGTAAGTTCACTGATGTTCAGTGGCATGACTGGTTTGCTTCTAAAAGTTCAGTCAAGAGTACATGAAACCAAAGTTGCTATTGGTCTTGAAAACTGTCCATTATTAGATTGGTCTAGTTCTGAATATATGTTCATGACAAGATATTTATAGATGAACTGTATAGTTATACTTCATTGGGATTTAAGCATCTATTGACAGATGATTGGATCCAAAAGTTCTGTTCTGCTGGCAAAATCTTAGTTACACTAGTGCAGCAGTTTTTAGGTGTGTGTGTGATTTTTGCAATTCCCTCTTGCCACCACATACCCTCTCACTAAATCCCCAGGAGTAGAATTTCAGGGGCCCTTGTAAGAGGCAGCCCTGACTTGGATAGCTAAGGGTAGCTGGATAGCTGATGATCTTGTCGGATCTTGGAAGTTATTAGGCTTGCCAAGTCCCCCTGGGGGGCGGGGAAACCCCCGCCCCAGAGGCCCGTTCCCTGCCACTGGCAGATCGGGCCCTGGGGGGAACTCCACCCCGACGTGCATGTTGCCCGGAAGTGACGCGGGCAGGCTGGGGGCAGGGCCACGGTCATCCGAGGGAAAACTCTATGGTTTTCCCTCGGATGGTCGTGGCCCCGCCCTCAGCGTGCCCGCGTCACTTCTGGGCGATGTGGATGCGGTGTGCGTGCTCCAGCCGCCATCCGGGAGTCCCCCGCTGCAGCTGAATTCACACTTGGCAACCCTAGAAGTTATGCAGGGTCAGCTCTGGTTAGTACTTGGATGGGAGACTACCAAGAAATTCCAGGGTCACTATACAGAGGCAGGCAATGGCAAAACACCTCTGGTAGTCTCTTGCCTTGAAAATCCTGTGGGGTTGTCGTAGACCAGCTGTGACTTGAAGACTCCTCCCCCCAAAAAAAGAAGTAGCAAGAGGTAGCAGGAAAGTCCCGTTCCATTAGTTTTGGTCTGCTTTTGCCATTTTTGATTACAGTCCAAGAACTAAGAGTTTTTAAATATGTTGACTGAAATAAATTCCATCTGCTGCTGAATCAATTGGCAAAACTCTCATCGATCCCAGCGGCTCTAGTAATCACATATCTCTGGCTGGCTAAAGCAGTTCATGTCTTTGGTCTGAAGCATGTATGCCCAGTTTGTGACACATTGAACTAGCCCACCAGCCCACTAGTCATGAAGTATACCTGCTGATTGTCTGCCTGATTTTGCAAAATCAGGGGTAAGATGCACCTACGAGCTGTGCTTGGTTTCATGGGTCACAACTTGCATAGGCGTGCTTTAAAATATAAAATTCTTATAGTTGCATAGGTTGTCACATCTGCATATTAACAGTGTTAACATTTTCTGTTCTTTCTCCACTTCTTCAGTATTGTCATTGTTCTTCCTCTTTATACTTACCTCTTTATACTTACCTCTTTATACTTACTTTTTTACTCATATTTCCTTCTGTTTTTCAGCCTTGAGGCAAACCACCAGTCACTCAGATTTACCATTTCTCACAACATTCTCCCTCTCCCTTGCTGTCTTTTCTAAATAACATTCTTCTTGTTGTACGCTTGGACAGTGTGTTTCTTTCTTGTGTTGTGGATGAGCTAAATCTATCAGGCATGGATTTACACTCACAAACTTGCATTCTTCCACTGCCCTCTAGGGACCACATTTTAATACTGTCCTCTGAAATGGAGGTCATAGTTTTAAGAAGGGAAAAGCATAAATCAGTCATGCATACCAAGAACGGTCAGTGCATCCTTGCAGGTGGCTGTATTTGGATATTAAGGCACACTAGTTGTAAACACTGCTACTTTGATTTGCCTGTGTCACTCAGCAAAAAGCCATGCTCAAAGCCTATTAACATTATTAAAGACAGTTGGAAAACTGCATAACTAACACAATTAATAGAGACTGAATGCTTTGGTGATTTTACTCCTGTAAAATTGATCACACTATCAGTGCCCGACAGCATGCTACTACTGCATTATAAACATTATAAGCAGCAGTTCTGTTTTACGTTTTTGTAAAAAAAATTTTTTTGATTGCCATCCTTAGCTTTGCAAAAGTCATGAGTATGTTAAAAAAATGATACTGTCTCTTTTAGGTGTTGGCTCACATTTCCAGTTGAAAGAGAGTGTAGCAATTAAATGTATTCAGTTATCGTACTTACTATAAAAATGTACAATAAAAGCATTGTTTAGGGAATGCTTGTTCCATAGGGAAGGCAGAAGGTGCATGTAATTTCTACATTCACAGAAACAAGGAGCACCAGAGGATAGCCAGAGAGAGACCTACTTATTCAGGAAGTAAAGTCTAGTGCAATTAGCATTCTTTGGAAGAGAGGAGATGAAAGGAGATCCTTGAGGTAATGCAGCTGTGAATAGAATAGCCAGGGTAAGCACTAAAAGGCTGCTTCTTGAGGTAATGCAACTCTGAATTTGAATAGCCAGGGTGAGTGCTAAGTTGTTGTTTGGGTTAGTGTCAAAGGTATAAACAGAGTGGTGGTTTAGGAATCCTCCTAAAAGGAATTTTATTATTAACTGCTTATCTTGTGACTTCTTAACAGTTGTTGTGAGGGTCTTAAAAAGAACCAATTGAAAGTTGAATATGTTTTAGACTTTTTTTTAACCCTACCTAGATTGATTTGTGAAAATACTGTGCTGTGGTGCAATGTTGTTTTTGATTTTTAACAAAATCCAATAAGGATAAAGTCTGTGCAGTACAGAGTTTTTTTGTTTTACATAAATGGGACATATAAAAAGGAGAGCCGAACTCCAGCACAATCCAACCATTATCTTAGATCCCTTCCAGTCCGGCTTCCACCCGGGTCACAGGACCGAGACGGCTTTGGTCGCCCTGACTGACGATCTCCGGAGACATCTGGATCGGGGCGGTGTGACAGCACTGGTGTTGTTAGACCTGTCGGCAGCGTTTGACACTGTCGACCACCAGTTGCTGACCCATCGCCTTGCCAACGTGGGGATTCGGGGGCTTGCCCTTCAGTGGTTTGCCTCTTTCCTGCAAGGTCGGGGATAAAGGGTGGTTTTCGGGGACCAGCGCTCCCGTAGGTACCCCATTGAGTGTGGGGTGCCACAGGGGGCTGTGCTGTCCCCGATGCTATTTAACATCTATATGCGCCCCCTTGCCCAGATTATCCGGAGTTATGGGCTGGGGTGTCACCAATATGCGGATGACACCCAGCTCTATCTGATGCTGGGCGGCCGGTTGGACTCGAGTCCCAATGACCTGCATCGGGCACTTGAAGCTGTGGCTGGTTGGCTCCGACTGAGTCGATTGAAACTAAACCCGGCGAAGACGGAGGTCCTGGGCCTGAGTCGGACCGGGACAGGAGTGGGGTTCCCTCTCCCGACCTTCGATGGGGTGCCTTTGGTGCCTGCGTCTGGGGTTCGGAGTCTGGGAGTTCACCTGGACTCCGCTTTAACGATGGAGGCCCAGGTGGCAGCCACTGTCAAGTCCGCCTTTTTCCATCTCCGGCGGGCGCGGCAGTTGGCCCCCTACCTGGAC